TAAAAATAAAGCAGAAAAGGCTGGGAGCACAGTTTAAGTGGTAGAGTACCCACTGGCTTTTAGCAAGCAGGAGGCCCTGAGTTTAAACCCCAGTACTGCTAGAGGGGAAGGGAGGGAAGGGAGGAGAGGACAAGGAGAGAAAGGGAAGAGAAGAGAAGGGAGGAGAAAGGAGAAAGGAGGAGAGAGGAGAAGGAGAAAAGAGGAGAGAGAAGACCCTGCCTATAGCATTAACATCAAACCTGAACCCTTTCCCTCCCTAAAATTAAGAAACAATAATATTCTCACCATTTCCTACCATTATACTGAAATATTTGCTAGTGCAAAAAGAAAAATAGCCAAATCATAAACATCAAAAAGGAAGACACAACTGTCTTTATTTGCAGATATGAACATAAAAAGTCCCAATAATTCATTTTTAGAAGTTACTAGAACTAGTGAACAAATTTAACAATGTCATAAAATATAAACACAATATACAAAAATCAATTGTATGTTTAAGTACTAGCAACAATTAGCAAACAAAATTTTAAAACAATGCAATTTATAATAGCATTAAAAAGCAAAATATTTACTGAGTTTAAAATAAGATGTATAAGATCCCAACACTAGCCGGGCGCTGGTGGCTCACACCTGTGATCCTAGCTACTCAGGAGGCTGAGATCTGAGGACCTCGGTTCAAAGCCAGCCCGGGCAGGAAAGACCGTGAGACTCCTATCTCCAATAAACCACCAGAAAACCGGAAGTGGCGCTATAGCTCAAGTGGTAGAGCGCTCGCCTGGAGCTGAAGAGCTGAGGGACAGCGCCCAGGCCCAGAGTTCAAGCCCCACGACCGACAAAAAAAAAATTTAAAAAAAAAATAAGATCCCAACACTGAAGTTTTCTTAAACATTCATGAGAAGAAAAAAAAAAGTAAGCTAAATAAGTAAAAAGGTACACCGAATGCGTGGCTTAGAAGACTCTCCACTACCATTAAGATGACAAATTCTCCAGGCACTGGTAGCTCACGCCTGTAATCCTAGCTACTCAGGAGACTGAGATCTGAGGATTGCAGTTCAAAGCCAGCTCAGGCAGGAAAGTCTGTGAAACTCTGATCTCCAATAAACCACCAGAAAACCAGAATTGGCGCTCTAACTCAAGTGGTAGAGTGCTAGCCTGGAGCTGAAGAGCTGAGGGACAGCGCTCAGACCCAGAGTTCAAGCCCCACGACGGACCAAAAAAAAAAAAAAAAGATGACAAATTACTGTGCTGAAGAAAAAACTCAGAGGTAGAGTGCTTTCCTACCATACACAATATCCTGTGTTTGATACTCAGAACAAGTAAGTAAATAAATTTTGGCAGTACTGGGGTGTGAACTCATAATCTTGATCTTGCTAGGTAAGAGCTCTATGACTTGAGCTAACTCTCAAAATGATAAAGTGAGTGCAAGTAAAAATAATAAATCTCAGGAAGTTTTGAGATTCTAAAAAAGAAGAAGAGGCCTGGGAAGGGGCTCAGTGGTAAAGTGCTTGCCTAGCATGCTTGCTTGAGGCCCTGGGTTTCATTCCTCAACACCACATAAACAGAAAAAGCCGGAAATGGCGCTGTGGCTCAAGTGGTAGGGTGCTAGCCTTGAGCTGAAGAGCTGAGGGACAGGGCGCAGGCCCAGAGTTCAAACCCCACAAAAGAAGAAGATAAAGTAGACAGGCGCTGATAGCTCATTCTTATCATCATAGCTAATCACAAGGCTAAAATCAGAGAATCACAGTTCAAAGCAAAACCTTACAGAAAAGTTCAAAAGAACCAGCAAAATGCCAGAAAGGGAAGTGTGTTCAAGCAGTAGCACAAGAGCCATGAGCAGACAAGTAGCAAAGAGGAACTGAACTGAAGCCTAAGAACTGGCAATCATCATCATCATCATCATCATGAGTCTAATTTATGCAAAAAAAATTTAAAAGAAACAAAACTACTAATTTTGAAAAGAAACAAATAGAAAACTAATTTCAAGATGATCAAAAAAGCTATCTATAGTAAAAACACATGGCATTTGTTTGAAGTTAAAAAGATTAAAGAGACTCAGAGTCCATAAACAGACTCCCATAAATTATTTTTCAATGAAAGAATTAAAATATTCATGATGGGTAAAAATCTGAACCAAAAAATTAAACAACACCAACAACAAAAAGTAGAGGCAGTGCTGAAGGCATGAATATAAGCATTGGCTATACTCAACTGGGCTTAAACAGAGTAAAAATACTTGTGTCAGATTTTTACCCATCATGTAATTTGACCATTTGTACTAGGACTTAAAATATTTCCTATTCTTAAGAAAGTAACAATATAGAAGTTTTAATGTACAAAGATAGTCACTGCAATTACTTACATAGTTATTAAAATCCTAAGTTTTCAGCAAAGAAAAATTAAATATGGTATATCCATAAACATAGAAATTAAAAGTGATAATAGGGCACCGGTGGCTCATGCCTGTAATCCTACTCAGGAGGCTGATATCTGCAAATCACAGTTCAAAGCCAGCCCAGGCAAGGAAAGTCTATGAGACTCATCTCCAATTAACTACCAGAAAACCAGAAGTGGTGCTGTGGCTCAAGTAGTAAGCTCAGGGACAGTGTCCAGGCTCTGAGTTCAAGCTCCACAACCGAACAAAAAAAAAGCAAGCAAGAAAGAAATTAAAAGTGATGCATGGTTAAACTAGTTAATTAGCACAGAAAAATGCTCATGTTTCAAGTAGAGGAAGAAAATACTGAACTGTATGAACTCAACCATCAAACAAACAAAAGAATTAAAGTATTCAATAAGAGGATGGGTACCAGTGGCTCATACCTGTAATTGTAGCTACTCAGGAGGCTGAAACCTGAGGATCACAATTGGAAGCCAGCCCTGGCAGGAAAAGTTCACGAGACTCTTCTTAACCATTAAAAGGCTGAAAGGGGATCTATGGTTCAAGTGGTAGAGTGATAGCCTTAAGCAAAAAAGCTCAGGGACAGAACAACAATAACAACAATAATAATAATAGAACTTCAGAAAAATTTTTAAGTTCTGTTCATCATAAACATGATAAAAAATAAAAAGGAAATACAGACTGGGAGAAAAAAAATAATACCCATATCCAATAAAGAGCTTATACCCAGAATAAAAACACCTACAATAAATGAGACAAAATAAATGATTTTTGGTGAGGAAACATTGGGGGTTTGAACTCAGAGCCTATACTTGGCTAGGCAAATACTTCCACTTGAGCTACTCTGTTAGCCCTTTTTTGTGTTGGTTATGTTGTTGTTGAAAGTGGTTCTTTTTGTGTGTGTGCCAGCCCTAGGACCTGACAAGTTGTTCCTGAGTTTTTTGCTCAAGACTAGTATTTTACCACGTTAGCCACAGTTCAACTCCCAGCTTTTGTGGAAGAAATTAACTGAGATAAGCATCTCCCATTTCCTGTCACAGCTGGCTTCAAACAAAGATCCTCAGACCTCAGCCTCCAGAGTAAAAAGGATTAGGGGTGTGAATCACCAGTGCTCAGCTGTGATGGTTATTTTCAAGATAGGGTCTTGGCTGATGTTTGGCCAAAGCCTACACCTTAATTCTCCTATTTGTGCTTCCCTGGCCAGTGCTGGGATGACAGACATTGCAACCATGCTCAGCCACTGGTCAAGATGAGTCTTGACAAAACAAAATTTTCCTAGCCAAGTGCCAGTGGCTCATATCTATAATCCAAGCTACTCAGGAGGCTGAGATCTGAAAATCACTGTTTAAAGCCAGTCCAGGCTTTAAGCCACCAGAAAACCAGCAGTGGCACAGTGGCTCAAAATGGTAGAGAGCAAGCCTTGAACGCCCAGAACCAGAGTCCGAGCCCTACAATACAACAACAACAACAAAATCCTGTCCTCCAGGAGGGTCTCAAACTGAGATCCCCTATATCTGCCTCTCAATTAGCCAAGATTACAGACTGTAGCCTGTGCTGACGTATGAATGTTAAAAAAAAAAAATGTCATTACAGGTGGACCCATTGCAACAATAAGATGTACAAGTCGTTATGTCGAAAAATGAACTTTACGACTTTGGTGCGGGGGGGGGGGGGGGGGGGGGGGGGGGAATAGTGGGGGGGATGGGGGGGGGGGGGAAGGAAGGGATGGGAAGGGGAAACAAAGGAGGAGGCTACAATGCTTGATAAGAAATGTACTCATTATCTTGCCCATGTAATTGTAACCCCACTGTACAGTATTTTCACAATAAATAAATAAAATATGTCAAGACTTGAACAGACTCTCAAAAACTCCTTTTAAAAATTATATACATATACATATATAAATAATAAGTGTAAGAAAAAGTGGTCACTGGTGGACTGCAAATTAAAACCAGTCTTATTGCAATGCTCACTACAAATAACTGAAACTATGAGGACGATCATAGTACTGAAAACATAAAATGAGGAAACATTTTGAAAACCAGCAATTTCATAAAAAGTTTTACAAACATCTCCCATATGAATCAAACATTTCTATATATATTCACAAAAATCTTATACAAACAATTTTATAACTGCTTTATTTGTAAAAAACAAAACAAAGACAATCCACGAGTCTACAGGTAAACAGACAAACTGGGATATAGTCAACAGAAAACCATTCAGCAATTTTTTTTAAAGTTCTATTGTATCACAAACTAGGCTCAAACATTGTACTGGGGGAAAAAGCACAAAGAACAGGTGTTGAATGATGCTATACATTTGAGATTTTAGAACAGCAAAAAACAAATTGTCATAAGAAAAATCAGAAGCTGTTGAGTAAAGGGGCAGTGGCCTAACTATAAAAAGGTATCAGGGAATTTTCTGAAAGAATAGACAGTTTCTCATCTTAATAAAATGTGCATTATACAAGTCAGTACATTTGTAAAACTGCTTTAATTTTACACCATGTTACATCTTGTGTTTCGTTTTATGTAAATTCCTACCTCTTTAAGACAGGCACATGGGCTTTAGGAATCATCTGGGGTTCAGCTCTGCCACTTACCAGCTGTGTGACCTTGGCCAAGTGTTAAACTGTCAGTTTCCCCATCTGTAAAATGGAAAAAACAAGAGATGAGAACCTCAGAACTGCCAGAAAGAGCAAATTAAATAGCATTTTAATGGAATCAGCAAATAGTAAGTGCTCACTAAACATTAACCAAAAAGAAGCTAAAATTTTTCTATCCCCCTTTCCACAGAAGTGAGATGCAAGAGTAGATAGCAGCTAAAGGAATTTACGCATTATCTCTTTTTATTATTGTTAGTATTAGGCTCACATTTGGCCCTCAGCTCCACCCACACCTGGGCCTCCTCCCATTCCAGGAGTTCCTGGCCCCTCCCTCTCTCAGCTCAGACCCACCTGAATTTCCATCTACCTCACATCCTATCCCTCAGACCCTCCTGCTACCTGGATGGTGGTGGAGGCCATGTGCTCCCTTCTTGGGGGAAATATGGCTCCTCTAATAAACCTTATAATACTCTTTCTCCTGTGCCTGCCTGCCTGCCTCTGCATGGTCCCCTGGGATGGATGTGTGGTTTTCTCTTTCAATTATTACTGTTTTATGGGTAAAAAAACAGAGCTTCACAACTTGCCTATGGTCACTCAGAAATGTGAAGACACAAACTTCCACTCATGTGTTCTCCACTGCACCATGCATTCATGTCATTTTCTGCTATTAACCCTGCAACTGTCAGGACAGCCCAGGTTACCTGAGAAGTTACTGAAGGCTCCCTTCATTCTTGATATACTAGCTCTTAATATACTCCTGACTCCGAAAAAGAAGTCAATTCTGATGGCTTCATTATTGAATAAGAGTAAGGAGAAAGCTGAAAATGCTGTTTTTTAGGGCTTTTCTCTGTTCTTAAATTTCAATATAGTTCTTGATACTTGAGGATACTGATTCCATTCACATAGAGCAATTTCAATTTAAGAGAAATTTTAATACGAAACCTGTATTCTACATGAAAAGCTAGAGCCTGAGTGGCTTAATTTACAAACTAGCCTTGGAATCTTGGAAGTTGAAATCAGAATGGAGATTTGTCTTAAATTATGTGTCGTTAAGTTGGACACCAGTGGCTTATGCCTAGCTACTAGCTGAGATCTGAGGATAAATTTGAAACCAGACCAGCCAGAAAGCCCATGAGACTCTCATCTCCAACTAACTACCAAAAAAACAGATCTTGAACTGCGGCTAACAGTGGCAGAGCAGTAGCGCATAGTTAATGAGCTAGAAAGACAGCCAATGAACTGGGAGATCTTTACCAGCAATATCAGACAATATATACAAGGAGTTCAAGAAACTAACCCCTCCCAAACCTAATAAACCAACCACTAAGTGGGCAAGAGAGGGAAGCTGAGACTTCTCAGAAGAGGTAAGAATGGCAAAGACACACATAAGGAAATGCTTATCATGCCAAGCCAAAAAGGAAACGCAAATCAAAACAAGTATCTCACCACAGTTAGAATTCAATTAAAACAACAAATGTTGGCAGGTATGTGGGGAAAAAGGAACCCAAATGCACCATTGGTGGAATGTAAACTAGAGTCATCTCCACAACAGCTACTAAACAACTTGAGACAGAGAAGCTACAGACTGGGGTTAATTGACAAAACTTTGCCCAAATAACACATATTAAGGACTCATCTAGGACTGAGTTAGCATACTCTCAACATACTTAAAGCACCACACAATTTTTTAGAGAAAATGCTCATTTGTAACTTGCAAGGAGGTAACTTTAATCTACCATGTCCCCCCACTCCTGATATATTTGCCTAGCACAGAGAAATATTTTGTTATCATATATTGAATCCAAGTACTTTATTTTTTAATGAAATAAACATGTAGGAATCTCTGATCAAAATTTACTATATGGTTTTCCCACAGGAAAAAAACAAACACACACACACACACACACACACACACACACACAAGTGCTACACACTTGGAGTGCTACACCTTTGGAGTTTCTCCTCATTCCTTCTTAGTCATCCATTACAAATCTCCAGACTTAGATGTTCAAGCATCCCCTGCACTCACCAGAGACAGTTGTACTGCAGAAGTCCAGGATTACTCAAGAACCCAACTGCCTTTGAATGCAACTATCTTGTCAATCGTAAACAAAGGCTAAACTCGTGGCTCCGGAGAGAGTCCCCACCAAATCAGTATAAACTGGGAAATAGGGACAGAGGTCAAAGAGATGAGAGTTCAGCCTAAGATCTGGATCTTCAACCACTCCCACTCTGTTCAAAAGAATCCTTATCAGAAGGAACTCCCCAGCAAAAAGCCACATTAAGAAACTTGACTCAGCAGTGAGGAGGCAGATTCCACTAAAGCTCTGGAAGCAGCTCCAGGAATTGTCATGAATGCAAAATACCTAAATCACCTAGAGAATGTAGTGCAGAGTGGGGAAGGTGAAGGGGAGGGGGACATAAAGAGAGAAATCTAGGGAGATTTGTGTCCTTATCTTAAAATTGCTTTGGGAAAAAACCTGCCTGAGAAGTGAAGGTATAGGCCTAAACCTTAGCTATAAAAGCTATGTTTGGAAACCTATTCCATAGTGAATCATTTCATTTTGTGTCCAAAATCATCCTAATATATGTAAATCATGCTCACAGCACTTCAAAAATAGTCTTTACTCTTTAGTACATAAACAATGACTATATGTGTTACATATTATTATATGCTTCCCTCCACCTTTCTTTCCATTTATCTATTTTTACTGGTGGTACTGAAGTCTGATTCCAGTACTCTGCACATGCTAGGTAAGTAAGTGCTCTATCAAGGAACTATACTATTAATATGAGATGTGTCAAAATTAAGAGAGCTACAACATGACAGATTAGTTAAAATAGGGGCTCTGATTTTGTGCTTCACTATGTCCTTTAGGGTGATTTAACTTCCAGGATTCACAATTTTCATCTGCAAAAATGGGGACAATCTTTTTCTTTCCTTTTTTTATTTTTTTGTCAGTTATGGGTCTGGGTGCTGTCCCTCATCCCTTCAACTCAAGGTGAGTACTCTACCATTTTATTTTGAGCCACAGCATCACTTCTGATTTTCTAGTGGTTAACTGGAGATAAGAATCTTATGGATTTTCGTACTAGGGCTGGTTTTGAACTGCTATCCTCAGATCTCAAACTCCTTAGTAGCTAGGATTACAGGAGTGAGCCACTGGTGCCTAGCTAGTTATTTCCTTTTCTTTACTTGATTTTGATCTCTAATATCTAGCCTACACCTAATATTTAAGCATATATAAGCTTCTTTCTAAGACAAAAAAATGATATATAGTTTAACAACTATGAATAAACTCAGAAGGACATAGGACAGAATATTGGAATGAATATATATATATATATATAAAATCAATTTTACACAGTCTCCTTGAGATCCCCAAATATCTGACGATGAAGTTAGTGGTAACAAGCTGACAAGCTGTCTTCATACGAACTCCTCTTAGTCTTGCATGTTTGTCCCACAGCACATACAGTCCTACTTGGTGGACATTTTCCATGGATGACAAGAGAGGCCAAAGATTAAACTTTCAACGCTCTCTTTATCTTATGTTTATTTTTTTCAAAGACAAAAGCAGCTTTCACTGTATTTACATGCAGCAAAATTTTTCAGGAATAATCTCCCTGTTGTACAGTTTAGGGCTGAGGTGGTGAGGCATTCCCCAAGTTAGAGTGGATGAAAAGGATTAGAACCAAAAGAAGTACTAGTTCTTAAAAACCAAATGAACAGCCAGGAACGGGTGGCTCATCCCTGTAATCCTAACTACTCAGGAGGCTGAGGTCTGAGGATCGTGGTTCAAAGCCAGCCCAGGCAGGAAAGGCAGTGAAACTCTTAGCTCCAATAAATTACCAGAAAACGGGAAGTGGCACTGTGGCTCAAGTGGTAGAATGCTAGCCTTGAGCTGAAGAGCTGAGGGACAGTGCTCAGGCCCAGAGTTCAAGCCCCATGACCAACAAAAACAAAAACAAAAACCAAATCAACAGCTGAGTGCAAGTGTCTCACACCTGTAATCCTAGCTACTCAGAAGGCTGAGATCTGAGGATTTAGGTTCAAAGCCAGCTGGGGCAGGAATGTCCGTGAGACATTTATCTCCAATTAGAAAACTTGAAGTGGCTCTGTGGCTCAAGGGTAGAATACTTGCCTTGACCTAAAGAGCTCAGGGACAGTGCCCAGACCTAGAGTTCAAGACCCACGACCAGGGGAAAAAAAAGGACAACAACAACAACAAAAACTCGTCTATTTCTAAATTGTCATTTATGCACAGTGCAATATATTTTAAGTTTCAAATAATTCCAAATATACCCCTGCTTTTAAAATGGAAACAAAAAATAAAATAAAATGGAAACAATTAACTTTTCTTCAGTGTATTTTCTACTATATCTTCCTTTCTATTTTGAGCTCAGAGTCTTGTACTTCCTAAGTAGGTGCTCTGGCACTGAATCATACCTTCAACCCCTTTTGTACTGTTTTTTTTTGAGACAGGTTATCAATATTCCTGGGTAATGCACCTGGACAGTGAATCTACTATTCTAGCTTTCCCACTGTGGCTGGGATGACAGGCATGTGAAGCCTAGAGTTCAAACCTCACCCAGTACAATCAATCAACCAACCAACCAACCAATCAACCAACCACAGCTAAAAAGCTTCTAATTAGTCTGTTTAATATTCAAGTACTTGCTTTCTTTTGGACTGTAGAAGTTGAGCATCAGACAAGAATCAACATAGACCAAAAAGAACATCCACCTTCAATTTTATAAAGTGAATTAAAACAAGTATTTTTAATTTTGCTCAAAGTTTATTCCAGATATAATTATTGTATATTATTCATTGTATACATACAAAAAATTCAGTAATATATTTGCTGAACTAGATGGCAAGAAACAACGTGTGACAAGGGCGGGAGAACAGCTGTTGCTAATCCAGCTATTTCCCCTTTGACCCTCTATCTGCCCAATAAGTGAACAGTACCAATTGTTTCCTGCATTATGTGCTATTTACAATCCCTGAGAGGCATGAAAGGAATTAATAATTTAGCCGAGAAAGCTGACAGCCTTTATTGGGGAGCCCCTTGTCTATGGGACAGAAATCAGAGCAAAAGCTATCCTAAAGTCACAGGTCCCTTTACTGTTCCTGTTTTACAGCCTAATTGGCCCCCAAACATAAATCAATTATTTCTCCTGTTTTAAGGGACAATGAGCTCTATTCTCAAACTTCCCTTGTATCAAGTCAGTCCTTGTTCTCTTTTGGGTTTTACAGCTACACGGTAAACATGATGGCTGACGAAAAAAACTTGGGGAGCAGGGCAAAGTAAGGCTATTTGGAAACAGAAGCACAGAAAGGTTATGCTGCTGTGAACTTCTCTTGACCTTTGACTGCCCTTGTCCCTAGCTTATGCTAATGGGCATGGTATAAGGACACTTCTTGTAGAAATGAACTTAGCCTGAACCTGTGCCATAACATTGGACTCCAGGAAGTCCAGGAATCATAGGCAGCAGTGTGAGCAGCAGCTCATATTCTAAACATAGCTGCCCATCTGCTCCAACAAAAAAAGTTTAAATGAATGGATACCTGAATCGATAAAGTCAGTCTTTCCTCAACTACTTCTAACACATCTCGCCTGTTGCCCCAATCTGCTGTTTACAGCCAGCAGCCAATGAAAATTAGTTGCAAATGTATGGAAATTAATTGCAAATGTATTTTCTTTTACACAATTAGGAAGTATAAACAAACCTTCTCCACCAGGAATTTTGGGGGGGAAGTCCTCAACCCTCTGAATTCCGAAGTTACAACAAAAAGAAATCCCTAGTCTCCATCTAATCTGCAAAAGTCAGGAAGGACTGACATAGGAATATTCACTCTTGCTTGAACAGAATTTTTAGTGTAAAAGAAAACAAACTTTTTTTGTCAGTCCTGAATCTTGAACTCAGGGCCTGGGCACTGTCCCTGAGCTTCTTTTACTCAAAGCTAGCACTCTAACACTTAAATCACGGCGCCACTTCCAGCTTTTTCTGTTTACATGGTAATGAAGAATCGCACTCAGGACTTCATGCAAGCACAATTACCACTAAGCCACATTCCTAGCCCTCAAAAAAAAACAATTTAACACAACATGAACAGCTCATCTCAGTGTTGAGGCTTACATAACTCAGTAGAGCTTAGTGTGTGCATCTGAACCCCAAGACTGGTATAAACTGAAATGATAAATTTTTACTTTTATCTTTTTTTTTTGAGGTACTAAATATTGAACTCAGGGCCATGCCTTTTTGCATTATTTATTTTCAAAGTAAGGTCTCCCTTTATGTCTGGACTCATGGACTGCAATCCTTCTATTTGTACTTCCCCATGTTGCTGGGGATGACAGGCTTAGGTCAGTGCACCCAGTCATTGTGCTTGCTCTGGGGCTGGGCTAACAGGTGCATGCTAACAATCCTAGCCATTGGCTAAGATGGGAGTCTCAAGAACCCCTCCCCCACAATCTCCACCTCCCAAGTAGCTAGGATTACAGACCTAAGCTACCATGTTCCAAGTTTATTTGTTATTTCTTTTTGGTAGGAGGTAGTAGTGAAAAACATCAACTTTTGGAATCCTAGTGATACTAGAAGAGAAACTTGAAAATAATTTTAGATAACTGTATTGTTATTATTAAGGTCTTCTATTTTTTATTTTTTTATTTTATTTATTAAGATATTATTGGATTTTTATTTATTTGAAGAATAAAAGTATTATTAATTTATCAGAGATAGTATAGGTATCGCTGAGAATACTACTTACATACACAAGTAAAATTTTAAAAAGAAGAAAATTTTACACTATAATTTTTAAAGACAAGTAAATTTTTGGTGACTCCCATTCTATACTGATAGATAAAAATTATGGTCATTCTCACAGGCTAGAAAAGTGTGTAAATCATATCTGGTGAGCAGATACAAGACAGAATAGGGGAAGTGAATATTATTATGTACTTACTTTAACTGCAAACTAGTAAAAATAAATAACCAGTTCTGTGACCTTTGAAGTCCTAGAACCAGAAAAATACCTCTGGTTCATCTCATGAGTTCTTAATCTAAATTATCATTTGATCTTTTATTAATGAAAATTAAGGTCTGTTCACAGAGGAGACTTATTTCTCACAATTATAACCATGTCCTCAAACACTGCATAGCACATCAAGAAACACAAATGACTGTGATCAAGACTGACATAATCCTGAAAAGTATCATTTACCTAGATTTTTGAAATGATCATTCTCATACCTTAACCTTACTGATACAGGGCCTGGGGTTTGGCTCAAGTGGTGGTAAGAGTGCTTAGTTAGCTAGGCACCGGTGGCTCATGCCTGTAATCCTAGCTACTCAGGAGGCTGAGGTCTGAGAATCACAGTTCAAAGCCAGCCCAGGGAGAAAAGTCCATGAGACGCACATCTCCAATAAACCACTAGAAAACCGGAAGTGGCGCTGTGGCACAAGAAGTAGAGCACTAGCCTTGAGCTGAAGAGCACAGGGACAGCGCCCAGACCCAGAGTTCAAGCCCCACAACTGACAAAAAAAAAAAAAAAGAGTGCTTCCTTGTCTAATGAGGCCCAGAGTTCAAACTATGTGGCCAAAAAAGAAAAGACTACAGATGAAAATGTTTCACAAATGAAAGCTGGTACAAAGGTTTTTAATTATAAATTTCTAAACAAAGTATAATCTTTCTTTGAACTAAAGGATCAAAACTAACTACTCAGGAGGCTGAAATATGAGGATCTCGGTTCAAAGCCAGCCTGGGCAGGAAAGTCTATGAGACTCTCCAATATATCACCAGAAAACTGGAAGTGGTGCTGTAGCTCAAGAGGTACAGAGAGCACTAGCCTTGAGTTGAAGAGCTGAGGGACAGGGCCCAGGCCCAGAGTTCAAGCCCCATGACCAACCAAAAAAACAAACAAACAAAAAACAAATCTAGGCAATAGTTTAGAAAAGTGGTTTTGAACATAGGACTATCCATGTATATCTGTTGATTTCACTGGAGAATGGAGAATATTAAACAAGGAAATCAGTATTAATAAGAATTTTTGCCAAACTAACATCCTATTAAATGTATAGACTGGCCACTAAAAATATTTAGAAGAGGAAAGGAAAGCATCATTAGAAAAGGCAGTATGCCACTTCTGAGCCAACTAAAGAAGGCTTATCAATGACACCTTTAATTATACTTTATAAATATATATTCACATCATTTTCTTACCAACAAAAATTCAGAACTTACTAGTGCCTGGATCAAGCTCTGTCAATTCATCCTGACAGAAACCTAAAGAAAAAACAGGAAGGGGAAAAGATTATAATTTGTGAGATACTCCAAGCTAACTAAAAGAAAAAAAAAGTATCATCATATGGTGTGGAAAGCTTCAGACACAGAAGTCAGTTTGACTTGTGATTGAGTTTTAATCCTCACCATAATATTTAACTACTATTTCCGTCCGAGTTTCTATGTCACCACCTTAAAACGTAAAGGGAAATAATAGTACTTACCACAGTTGCAAGGATTAAGAGATACCAATTTAAAATCTTGAGTAGGAGCTGGTGGCTCATGCCAAGATTACAATCCTAGAGACTCAGGCTGAAGATCAGCTATGGGTAGATGAAAAGTCCAGAGACTTTTATCTCTAACCAGCAAAAAAAACAGAAGATGTGTGGTTCAAGAGGTAAAGTACCAGGCTTGAGCTGAAAAAGCCAACTGAAAGGGTAAAGTCCTGAGTTCAAGCCCCAGTACTGACACACAAACAAAAAAATTATCTTTGGCAAAATCTGAGCACATAGTAGGAGCTAAATAAACAACACAGTAATTACGAGTAAGGATACCCAAGTCAGTTGAAATTAAAATACATAGGCAAATTATAATTCATTTAATACCTGTCATGCTCTACTTAATGCTATGAATTACCCAAAAGAAAACAAAACTGGGTACCAGTGGTTCACAACTGTTAGCTACTCAGGAGGCTAAAATCTAAGGATCACAGGAAAGTCCATGAGACCACCAAAAACCAGAAATAGAGCTGTGGCTCAAGTGGCAGAGTACAAGCCTTGAGCAGAAAAGCTTAGGGACAATGTCCAGGCCCTGAATTCAAGTCCCAGGAACGAACACACACACACACACACACACACACACACACACACACACACACACACACACAATG